TTTTTCCCACAGAGGTTCCTGAACAAGCAATACATCGACCCCCAGCTCAAAAGCTCGGGCGAGCGCGATGTCCTGTGTGGGGCCTCCCCTTCCTACATTTATCGACATGAAATTTAAGGTAGGAGGGAGGCGAAAAGGGGCCCGTGGGGCGCCCTTTATAAGCTTTCTTCACGATTCACGTCCTCTGTAACCTTAGTTACAGAAGGCGATGAATCGGTCATCAGCACTTCGAAGCAGTTGCTGGACTTGAAGCTCGTCTGAGCTATTTTTGCCTTTTCAGAGGCTGCTGAAACTACGGCTTCAGCGCGTCTGACAGCTGATTTTGCTCGTACAACTGCAGCAAATTCCCGTTGACTCGCCTGCCTGATTGCCTCGAGGTTCTCTTTGGATGCTGGTCCAGACTTTGTAGGACGAGCTAGACAGTCACGACTGTCCGATCGGTGGGGGCCCCCACAGTTGCGGCACTTTGTATGTGCCTTACACTCTGCGGAGGAGTGCATCGTTGACGTGCAGTTCCAGCAAGCTGGGGCACGTGAGCAGCCTCGAGTGCCGTGGAATTGCAGGCATCGTTTGCACTGGCTTATTGCCTGTTTAGGCTGGTGACGAACTGCAATTCCAAAGTCGTCAAAAAGTCGGAAGCCCGGCCGAGGGGCAGACGCTCTCTCGAAGTGAGCTATCCAAGTTTGGTAAGGAGCTCCTACTCGCCCCTTTCCGAGTGGACGGACACGTACAGGAACCGCCTTGGTGGTTCGAGTTATTTCTTCTGCCACTATCTCCTCAGTGACTGTAACCTTGCCCATAAGTGTGTATAGGGCCACTGGAACCGTTGCGATTCGAAGGGCAGCCAGATCCGAGGCTGTCTCCAACTTAGCCTCAACCCTGCTGAATGATTCTGCAGCGTTTAAGAGGAGCTGGCGTGCTTCTTCATTTTTGGCTTTCATAGCGAAGCCGGTGGGAACACGATACACATGTTCAATATTGGAGGATGGAACCTCCACCAATTTAGTCACGGCATCTCTCACGCCAGCTGGCGAAAGAGCGCGCCATGCATGCTTCTCTCCGAGTCGAAGAAACAGACGAACATCTCTTGGTTTTGCAGTCGCAGGTCTAGCTTGTGTCTTGACCTGTACTGCTGGGTTTGGGGCGACTCGAACAGTCTTCGCTGGAGCGATTGACTTTTGGGGAGAGCCCCGGGCGACTGTTGCCCAGGTCGATTTGGCCTGGGTGACTTGGCGTTGTAGCTCCTGACTGTTCATCGGAGTTCTTTCTTTGGCCTTGGTTATAGGACAACTCATGTTTTCCTGGGAGCTTGGGCGCTGTGGAAGGATTGGGGGGGCCGCACTGGGTCCCGACTTCATGAATTGAGCAATGGCTGCTCGAAGATATATTTTCATCGAGTCAATGAACGGATCGCTCGACTCTTCTGAGTATAGGGAGACCGCGGTCTCGACAGCATTGATCGCAGCAGTGCAGATCATTATATTTTTTGCTGCTTGAGCTGCCCTGCGCTCTTCAGCTTCAATCATGGCTTGTAGTTCCGGGGGGGCAGCCATTGATTTTTTGTTTCCTGCTTTCGCTGCAGGAAGGTTGTTGTTTTTCAGTCGCCACTGATGAGGGTTTGCTGGCGATCTGAGCAGGTGTGGCTTGATTAGCCTTATTCACCTCTGGAATTGCTGCCTTCTTGACAGCAGGAGCAGCAATCTTCTTTGATGTTGAAATGACGGAGGTCACAGGGACCACATCATCATTTTTCTGAGCGACATTCCATCTGGATTTGTCGAGACCCTCGATTATGTATTGGTCGATGACCATATCGCCCATTTCCACGTCTGGGTTTGTTGAGTCTGAGTCTTCCTGGAAGGCTCTCAATCTTTCGGTCATCTCTGACTCCATCTTGTCTTGATCTATCGTATCGATCGATAGATTTCTTGCATCTAGGCGGTGTTGCAACCTGATTTTAATTTTCGCCATGGCTTTGTGCTGGCGCGCGGGGCGAGTGATTTTCGTAGGACCCGTCGCCATATCGGAGACTCAGGGTCTTGCGACTATGATAATGATGAAATTAGCTTGTGAAACTATGAATTGAAGGGTTGAGGGGATGGGTAGGTGAATTTTTCATCGATTTCAAAAAAAAATTGTGTAATGCATGTGTGGGTATACTGGACCAAACTAGAACTCGATGGAATAGAGATAATGGAATCAGCGGGAGACTGATAGACTGAGAGAGAACGAGCTGGTCATTTCTCGTAGGAGAGAAATGATATCATAAGGGAATGTTCTAGCATTAGGCTGTGAACAACACAGTAAGTCTGGAGCAAGATATAAGGAGGTCTCAACCTCCATTCATTCATCGTAACCAAGTTTTCTTTATACGAGAATATAGAGTCAAGTCTTACATATCACGAGAACACACGCGACAGCGACTACAGAGACCTACTGTGAGCATAACTTCTCCAAGAGTTTCCATCGTCCTGCTCCCATATAGCCTAGTTAATATAACAATACGGCCACGCCGATATTTACACCCAGCAGAGGAAGCAAAGCGTGGCGCACAAATCTAAGAGACAGTTCTTTGAAATTAGCTTAAGAATAAGGAAGAGTTTGCAAGATGATTTAGAGGATGGCTACAATCTCGACGGGCGTGAAATATCGAATTATCGTAATGAGTTTTTAAAATTGAATAGCAATGTTCGCGGCAAGCCCTCGATTGCAAGAACGCAACTGTCTCTATAAACAAGCCAAAGATGGTAGGTGATGTTCTCCGGTAAAGTTTTAGTAGCTTAGGCACCTACTTCACTTCAAAAGACGCCCTAGATTAAATTTCGCGCGGAGGAAAGTTGAAAGATGATGGAGGCATATCTGGATAACTCAGGGTTTTGGAGACGTTCCCCTGGGTGGGTTTCACGGATGAGGGTTGACTTGGGGTGAGCAACAAGCTATCATAACTTCGCCGTGGTACTTGAAAATAAAATCTGAGGCATGAGTGCTCTAGTTTTAAATTGAGTCGTCTATTCTTGTCTGGATCACTCTGATGGGTCCGAAGTTTAGACCTTCACGCACAAGCGTTGATCGCACTAGGGCCTTTGCACCTACACAGGATAACTCTTTGCAGATAGTGTTATGACACGCAGAATATGGCAAGCAAGAACTCAAGGTTTAAGAGGTAATAAAGCTAATGAACAAAGCTATGTCTACAAATTACATATATCCTAGTGTATGAGATTAAGCGAATAGTAATTAGTAAGTCGTCAGTGCTTCCATAACGCCAGACCACCGTAGGTATCCTAATCCAACTCCTTGTCTATACACCTTATCCCTAGCCACTTAACAGATAGCTTAGATATAGAATATAGAACAAAGTGACAACCATTATCTACCTGCTAGCAGATTCAGCCTGTGCCAAAAGCTCTGTAATTTTTCTCTAATATTGTATGTTGGCCAAATAACTGCATACTCAATTCAAACCTGATACCGAAAAAAAGGCATGGAGTGCACAATGCTCTTAAGTAAGAGAGACTCACTCCAAAACTACAGCCTTCCCAAAAATCACTCTACAATCTATCCTGATAATTTACACGTCTCCCAAAGTCTGCCACCAAGCTTTGCGCATAACAATTTATCTCCTCTTGCAGATATCAATATTATCGTGGGCGTAATATGCAAGGTAAGCTAAGACAAGAAACAATATTGAAGAGAGTTGTGTTCAAGTAAATGATAATGTAATCTGTCGTATCTTTAGACTTGTGATGCATTAGGCCCGAATCCATCAATTCTGATGTGAGAATTTGATGCGGTAGAGTGCCATAAGTGATTGCCTCGTTGACTGACTTCTTTGACATTTCTAAATTCGACTAAATTTAGATCTGGGGAATGCTTAACTCTCAAATTGTGGAGAACATCCCTAACAGCAGTTTAGTTTTATCCTCCCATGGATCGAGTCAAATTGACGTAGAGGATACACCTATTCTGTGTCAATATTGGAGTACGACTAAGGCCCTGCTCGCACGCCAAAAAAGCTGGGCCGTGATCTTCATCGGTTTCAAGTCAGAAATATGATTTGAACATGATTGGCAAGCTCCAAGATTTCTGCCAGAGCCCGAACCCCTCATTGCTTGGCGTGAAATCTGAAGCAAACACTAGTATTTTTTGTAGGGTCATAATGGCTCTCTGCATTTCATCTGAATATCGTATGTGATGTACTTGCCGAGTCTCTCCTGTGAGCTGAAATTACCCCTGGCTATTAGTCCATTTGCCCGTATATGAATTCTTACCCTGGAATTTGTAGATGCCACGCTGATTATTGTTTGTCAAAGACCTAGTTTTAGGCACCTTTGATAATTTGAATTTCCTCACTCTCCAAATTACTCAAAAACTCGGAACCTAGCACACGACTCCTAAAGAGTTGCATTGATAATAATGAATTAAGAAATTGGGTTTTAAATGAAGTGTGTAATACGTCGCTTTCTGATATTCGATTTCCATGTCCCATTGCAGTTGCACCAAGTTGGACGCTGTTCTCCCAGCACAGTGGAACTGGTATGTTAACTTCCCGATTCGATATTGGCTAACCCAGAGGATTTAAAATTGTCTGTGGATACGAAAATATGATGTTGTTGTGGCACGAGTAAGGTTGAAAGAAAATTAGGATTCCTGAATCAATCACCCAACATCTTACGTCCAATTTAAGATATTTATTATAGAGAACATGTAGAACCGTCCGTTGATATTCTCAGCTTCCATCTTTACCCGGTTAATTCCTGATTCCTTCAACGCCGTACACAATCTATTGTGACAACCCTGGCAAGATCCGTTGACTATCATCATTGGAATTCATCGCTCGATAGAGAAAACGGTAACTCAAGAGGTGAATCATCAGAATTGTATGTTTGCCATTTCTCTGTGGCTATTTATTTCTGACGGTTTAGATACAAAAACCAAAGCAACTTCAAGTTGATCTCGTTTTCAACCCCTACTCAGTACAATTATTACTAGCAATAGTCATGTTAGCACGTTTATTTTTCATCCTCATATCACCTGCAGGAATGTGGAACAATGAAAAAATCTTCAATTACAACCTTATATATCTCGTTGACGTGGGGTCACCAATCCAATACTTTAGCAATCAAAACGCCAATGATTTTTATAATGAACATGGTCGGCGTTTTCTCGAATCTATGCCATTTAAAAGCTTACGCTTCATTACTGAGGGCTTTCCATCTGGATCTTTTCGAGCCGAGACGGATCAGAGTTATATGCAACCTTATTATCTTTTTACTAAACGATACATAGAGGAGACCAACAAACCAAGTATTAACAAAGAAATAGCCTCAAACCACCGCTTTTGTCATCAGGACTTAAAGAGTGCGAGTATATATGGCCCTATAAGTATTTCCAAAATTATAGAGGGGCACTTTCCACGATGCAAAACAATTCAACTAATAGAGCTTATCCACTTTAGACTGATCAAAATTGTAAGATCGAAGGATGATTGTAGATATGATCGGCAGAGACTGTGCATGGTAGAAGATAAAAGAGTTGAGGCCAAATCTGTCAAGGACAAATTCCAGCCCATTGCGGCCGTGAGAAGTAATGGAAGAAACGCCTACCTTGTGACCGTGGAGGGAATACTCAAGATTATCCTACAAAAGTCAGCAGACGAGTACATCATAATTCCGAAACTCGGAGGCCTGCCCACTAACGACATTTACAAATTCTTATCTCGGTTTGATTACCCGTCAGATTCTGCTGATGTAAGCAACCTCGAGTCGGCTAGTATAGACCTCTTCAGTAGCACAACAGACGAGGGAACTAGAATCTTCAATGAATTTATTAGCACTCATAATCTTAAATGAATATTGGCAATGGTCGAGCAGCTATTGGGGAAATGTACAGATAATAGTGACTTGGTGTCAGTACGATGTATGAATTTTCTTCCGTTCATTATTCCGAATAGGTCCCAGTACTCAAATCACCGTCGCGAGTTTTTTGTGTACGTGTTGTGAACTTGGTAAATGGCGTTATGTGGACGTAAAAGTAAAAAGGTTATCACATGGCGTCTCATTGAGGTTTCTGGGCGCGTGGTGTGTACCTAGTAAATAGTGTGTGTGTGTAAGAATGGAATGTTATCACGTGGTGTCTCGTGGCTATTAACTACAATGGATCTTGTGTAGAGCTTGAGACTAATACGTGAATTCTACATGTCCCCTAAATGTAGGATATCTATGCGCCTATATAAATCAATATTCTGTTATCCCTCAGCCCCAGTAAGATCTGCTCTTATTATTAATTTATTTTATTGTCATTTATGAGTCTAGGACTATGTAGGACATGCAGGTCCTCTCTGCCTACAGGCGAAGGATACCTATACCAGTAGTATATCCCCTCCTATGCCTCTCATACAGGCCCCATCAAACAGTACCGCCCCTCACAGGTCCTCATTCGATCATACACTCAGAGGAGCGGCTGCCCTTCATTATCTCACCACTCCAGCCGACGAAACTATGGCCACTTGCGGATGTATGACAGCCGGGAGGATTTGCAAAAACCGCTGGCTGCGGTGCCCTTTTAATACCGATATTAGGATTAAATCCGAAGACATAGTGACCCTTCCGAAGCATTCGAAGAGGCCGGCCAGCTGAGCGCTGCAGACTTGGGGGTACCTCGGGAAATTCACCCTCTGCCTTTCTAGCATCCTTACAACTCCTTCACGAAGGTCGTGCTGAAATGGCATAAAAGTCTTGACAGAGCGTGATTGCTGTGTGGTAGCTTAGCCCAACTTCTTTTGTGCCGTCCAGGGCGCTGGGGAGTGCCGTTGACTCATCGACAATAGAAGTCCTCCTGGCTAATTAGCCGAATCTTGGTCTTGGCGCCCACAAAAAATACAAAGTTGAAAACCCCTCGAAAATATCGGTCCCAGCATGCTCTTCAGAGACCTATTCCCCCTCTCGCTCCACATCTCAGCAGCCTGTCCTTCCTCAAGATGTATAACCCCATTAGAGCAGCAATCCCCCGCAAGCCAAGACCCAGGCTTTGTATTTTTCTACTTGATTTCCTCCTTGCGGATATAAATATCGTCGTAAATTTGTAGTGAGTGGTGGCCGGTAATAAATGAGGCAGGCTCCTACTTGCAATTGGGGCGACACCTTTTTCGTTCGTTGAGGCGAGATGATATGTGGTTAGAGATGGGTTGAGGACTCAGATGATAATGATAAGAGAGGCATTGTCGACAAGTCGTCAAATGGAGATGTGCTTGAGGTTGCCTTAGACTTCAATTCGGATGCGATTCTTCTGGGCTATCCCAGATATGCAAAGCGTACTGAGTAATCAAACGGCACCACTGGAAGGTGAAGAATTCGTCTTTGCCGGCTAGATCTGCTCTTGTGACTGTGCGTTCTGATTGTGTTAGATCATAGGTCACTAGCATTTTGTCTATGTGCCGTACATCCAAAGTCTGACCAACCCGTGACAATGTAGTTCTTTTCAGGATCCACATCGTGGCTCCTTACTACAACGGACCTGTCGAACTCCTTCGGGCCAAACTCTCACCTACAAACATGCAACAAACCCCTCTAACACGCCTTCCGGCCCACTAATGCTTGAAGGATCCCCGAGCTCGACCCTCACGTCCCACAGTCTTCCTTGGGAATCGCTACTCTGTCCTAGACGTCGAAAATGAAGTCTAGACGGCACAGGTCTATAGGGCCGCTACGGCTTCTACAGATCAACGTCTGTAGGGGAGCCTCTTCACATGAGCTTGCACTTAACTTTGCGAATGAAGAAAGATTTGACATCGTTCTCATTCAAGAGCCCTATATCAACACCAGACACATCGCAACGCAATCCATCACATCGCATTCTACCTACGACATTTTACTGACAAATTCATCTCTCAATCACCCATGCCGCCCCAGTCCTCCGCAGAGGCTGGCCCCTGGCCCCCCCTCCCCACTCAATGTTCGACGCGTCAAGACGTCGAAATGGTCCTTAACGGGCCACAACCGCCATCACAACCACCCACCCAACAATTTGTAGAGCCAATCTACGAGGCGAGTCATCGAAGCTCGCCCCACCAACAAACTCCGTCGCCTCAAATTGTCGCGACCGAATTTCTCGCCGAACAGGGCAGGATATTCCAGACGCGCTCTGCACAAGCAGAGCGTTTCATCATCGGGTTCTGCAAGCTGTTGGAACCAGTCACTGACGAGAGACTTCGAAAACTCTTTGATCAGGACTTACTGGCCCTTCAGGGCAAGATACTGGAAATTTTATGGGGCAACCCATCTCAAGCAGACGCCAACGCTCCCCCAAAGGCTGCAAGCGGCCATACTAACACATCTAACCCGGCTCAAGTCACAGAGCCTCCAAAACAAAGTCCTGCAAGCGTTACACGTCCAGTGCTGATCCTTGCCAGAGAAAAGAACAGACCGGCACCATCAAAGCCGTCTGCCACAACAGCAACTCTCCAGCCTAACCAGGGCTCGAACATAACCAAAAACAACGCCACAGAGAAATCTTGGACCGAGGTGTTGGGAAAAAGAAACAAGCCAGCAAACCAAGTGGCTCCAACTTCAACACCCAAGCCAGTGCCAGTGAGGCCCGTTTCCGCGCCGAAGCCTAAAGCTCCAGCAACAAACCCCCAGCGACCTGATGAGCGCGTATTTTTGCGCCTCAAACCTGACCACCCGTGGAGACGTATGTCACCCCACTTCGTTAAAATAAGCCTAGCTAGCAAGCTGCGTCTGGCCAACTCCACAATCAAACAGGTCACTGTCGTGAACTCAGGGTTCGCAATACAAGCCGAAGGGGAAGGAGCTAGAGGTGCACTTCTCTCAGGAGGAGCCATATTAGATAGCTCAGAAATGAAATTGGAAGCCGCCTCCAACTGGCTATCAGTCCTGGCACCGAATATCCCAGACAAGCTTTACACTCTGGAAGGTCCCACCATAGTGACACCAGAGATGGTAATAGAAGAAGCAGCTCTCAAAACAGGAGTTAGACCAACCTCAGCTCGTGCTTTCGCTACTAGCATGGCCAGGCCGTCAACGGACTGGGTGTTGCACTTCGCAACAGGAAAACCGAGACTTGGAGAAAGACTGTTTGAAGAAAGCGGGCGCCTTCACGAACTCCAGCGCAAGCTCAAAATTGCGCAATGCAACCGATGCTGGGGACACCACCCAACTAAAATTTGTTCACGAGCAGAGCGCTGCACCCGCTGTGGCTCAATTGAGCACAAAGCTACTGAGTGCAAACAGGCCGTACCAAGGTGCATCAATTGCCACGGGCCACATGCTGCAACTGAGCCTAACTGTATGGCTAGGCCGACACGGGCTGGTGGGAAGACGGTGCAACGCACAAGGGACCAGCTGTCGGTGATCCGCGAGCAGGGTCAAAAAGAAAGGAGTGCTTCTATCAGAGAGATGGAAGCAAAGCAGAAAGCCACCGAGGCTACTGCTGAAAACGAAAATACAAACGTTGCTCAATGCCCGTAAGGGACCACAACCCAACCGAGCTTCAAAAAACGACAACAACAATCTCGTTCCGCTGCGCTAATCTGGGCAGAGGAGACCCGGCTACGGACATCATCCTGCAATCCGCTTGGGATTCAGGAACCGATGTCCTACTCATCCAGGAACCCTGGACTAAACACAAGGACGGCTTCTGGCTCACCAAGTCGCATCCCGGATTCGATAGGCATTTGCCTCCCCGTGTCGCTGTTAACTCTTCAAGGCCACGCTCCCTCATCTACACGCGAAAAGGGATCCATTGCCAACAGCAAGCAATCTGTGAGACATCACCAGATCTCACTGCAGTAAAGGTAGAAGGAGTAACATTTGTCTCCGTATACCGCGCTCCTGGAGCAGACCTTTTGCCGCTGCTATCATGGGCTCCATCTGGGCCTACAGTTATTGGCGGAGATTTCAATGCTCTTCACAACGACTGGCAGCCAATGGCTACTAGGCTACACGGTGACGGCCAGGTGCTCACCGAGTGGATGTTCGAGCACGGTATGGACCTATCTTCCACACCGGGCGTCCCGACACACGACTTTGGAAACACACTCGACCTGGTCTGGTCTAACGCTGGTGCCCTTGCAGATGTCTCGACAGAGCTTGACTCGACATCTGACCACAGAACGCTTGCAGGAGACGTTCCCCGCCCGAACTCGAAAGCCATAGCGGTTATCAAAACTGGTCAACCGGTACGAGTGACAGACGACGCCCTCGAAGACTTCGCCAAGGTACTAGGTAGGTGGGCCCATGGAATAGGGATGCAGCCTATGGTCTCAACAAGTGCGGTGGACAACCTTGCGGATAAACTGGTTCAAACCATCAGCGATGCTATCAGGGCTACCGGAAGACGCGGGAGCACGAAGAAGGGTAGGACGGCACCTTGGTGGACGTTGGAATGCTCACAGGCCAAACGCGAATATAGGATATTCAGGGACGAAGAGAGTAGAAAGGATTTCCGTCGCATAGTCAGAAGTGCGAAACGCCAATACTGGCGGCGAAAGTTCTCGGAAGCTACAACAGAAATCGACATGTATCGGATGGCACGCTGGGCAAAGCCGCAACCTACATCTACCGCTCCGCCACTCAAAACTCCGGATGGTTTTGTTTCGGATCCAGGAAAGCGTGCACTTCTATTGCGCGATCTCCTTCTCGGCCGGTTCACCAGCCAAAACGACGTGGATATCGAACACCTCGAGCCAGGACGCGGAAACCTTCCATGGGCCTCAAGCGTCACTGATGAAGAAGCCAAGTGGGTCACAACGGCCTGCCAGAATAAAGCTCCCGGAGCAGACATGATTTCTGTGCGGCTTCTTAGGACAGCTTGGCCGTCAATAGGACAAGCA